GATTGATGTGCGCCTCAGAGATATGCTCGGAGTTAACCACCCCAGTTCTTTTTCCTTTAGTGAGGTTTGCAGTCTTGCCATCTAAACATTTTTTCCTGGTTCTTTGCCCTTCCCATCTCATGACTTGCATTTGGGATTAAATTCAAGGAGCCAGTAGATACCAGGCTTGGTAGCCTGCCAGACTCTTTGTATCTCCTGACCTCGTCCGATTCGTTCCCTTCATTAACTTCCATCGTCTGCAAACAGGACCTGTGTGTGTGGTGGTGTGTGTGTGTGTGTTGAGGTGTGTGTGTGTTGTGTGTGTGTGTGCCGAATAGAAAATTGGTCAGTTAGCAAGAATCATTTAAAATTACCTTTAAAAAATATTTATTTTTTTATTAATGAAAGAATTAATAGTTTTGGTACCAAAAAAATTAGAAAACTTAAAATATAATAACCTAACTTTAATTACTAATCCAACAAATATTTTAAATTTAAAATGTGTAATACTAAAAAAAAATATAATAGTAAATTAATATTTATATTTTTTTTTGGTTAGAATGATTTTTTCGCGAAATGCGTACAAAATTTTTTCCTTATTGGGCAGAGCAAAGTATAAATATGCTGGTTTAGAAAATCATTTAAATAATTTTTTTTTTGTGAGTAAACATTTGGATAGACCATAAACATGTTTACATAAGTTTTTTATCCGGCCGGCTGTGTGGCCCGTGGCTTGTGTTTGGCCTATGTGCCTGGCTTTGTGCCCTGCCTGTTTGTGGCCATTTCCCTTGTTTTTGCCCCGTGGCCTTTTGTGGGCCCCCGTGGCTGCTTTGTGCCCCGTGGCCGCTTTGTGCCCCGTCGTGCTTGTGGCCCCGTGGCCTGGCTTTGTGGATCCGTTGCCTTTTGTGGCCCGTGGCTGCTTTGTGCCCGTGGCCTGGCTTTGTTGGCCCCGTGCCTGGCTTGGTGTGGCCCCGTGGCCTGGCTTTGTGGCCCCGTGGCCTGGCTTTGTGGCCCGGTGGCCTGGCTTTGTGGCCCGTGGCCTGTGATTGTGGCCCGGTGGCCTGGCTTTGTGGCCCCGTGGACCTGGCTGTGTGGCCCGTGACCTGATTTGTGGCCCCGTGGCCCTGCTTTGTGGCCCCGTGGCCTGGCTTGTGCCCGTGGCCTGCTTTGTGGCCCCCCCGTGGCCTGGCTCTTGTTGGGCCCCGGCCTGGCTTTGTGGCCCCGTGGCCCTGCTTTGTGGCCCGGTGGCCTGGCTTTGGCCCCGTACCCGGCGGGGTTGAAACATTTCGACGCTTTCCATTCCTGTTCCTGTTCACCTAGCCAAAAAAAAGGTATTGTGTATTAGTAATGGTGGTCGCATCTGGGGGACAAGATTGAGGACCCCAATTGAAATAAGTTAGAAGCCTCGATGACGCACTGACTTTCTTGGGTTATCCTGGGTGGCTAACCCTCCGGGGTTAAAATCCGAACGAAATCTATCTTACCCTAAATCTCCTTTTGTATCTTTGTCTGGTCCCTTGAATACCAACTTTCTATCTACTCGCGAGTGTAAGAAAGGTCGCAGACCTCGCATGGAGATGATGTCTGAAAGGTCGCAGTCCTTGCCAAGATTATGTATTGCTGCAAACTTTGCAAATAATATGTATGAAATGTTGCAGACCTTGCAAGAAATTTAATATATACTGGATACATCAGAAATGGTGGAGGTGAGATCAAGACTTTTTAAAACCAGTTGTGGTCTCTTTTAATGGTGGAACAATTTAGGCGTGAGTAGAGTTAACATTATCATATGCTTCATTAACGAAGAGAGAGAAGAGAGAGAGAGAGAGAGAGAGAGAGAGAGAGAGAGAGAGAAAAGCAGACAGGATAGAGGGATACATGAAAGGAGAGTGAGAAAGAATCAGATCAGAGAAAACATTCCTTCACAAAACGGTAAAATGGTAAGTGAGCTTTGGTAGCAGTCCGCCTCCGGCAGCCACGCCATTGATAACTTCCTCTCTCTTGCTATATATTGAAGCAAAAATTCGCCTTACATAGATCGTGTCCCAAACCCCTGAAGCTTCTGCTCGTAAAATGTATCTGAAACTAAATATTTCGGATACGAGGATTTCCGAATAAACAACAAGATTTACAGAAGGACAACAGTGATAATTACGGAGGGAACCATACAAGAAAAATAATGTATGCTACAATTAAAAGCATTAATTCATAATAGATAGTTAAAAAATAATATAATCTTCTAATGCTTAACTGAAGCAAATGATTACTCGACTTTCGGATATATCTAGACGGTGGAATACATCTTTTTATATAACAAAAAAAGGCACAATACCGTGACTGGAACGATACACAAATAACCCGCACATAAAAGAGAGAAGCTTACGACGACTTTGTCAATGGTCCAAGCCGGACCGAAACGTCGTCGCAAGCTTCTCTCTTTTATGTGCGGGTTATTTGTGTAACATCTTGGTATGATGGAGACACCCGTAAGTAACTTAGAACAAAAGATATGAAAATATTTTAAAATGTTTTGATAATTTTGGGTAAATGCGACGCAATACCAAAGAGTAACAGAGTATAGTCTGTTTCTGATAGCTACATTGAACAGTTCCTCAAAGAGGGTGAAAGACAATGATGAAAGATTGATGATCCAATTGAAATGAAGATGGAATATGATTCTCTCCAACTCAAAGATATGCTTCGCTTCAATTGCTACCAGTAATTTCTCTATCAGTGAAGCAAAAGAATGGCCCATGACTTTGGTTGTAAGTGGGGCCAGAACAGGAGAAAATAAAACCAGATGGACAAAGTGCACATATCCCAAATCTGCACACGAAAATCACTCCCCATGAAAGCAAAAGACTTGGCAGGGGGCGCCAGTACGCTAAGAGACAACACAGTAAGTGTCAGGGGCCCAAGACTATTATTTAGCTGCCTCCCAGAATACATAAAGCGGATTACCAATAGACCCCTGGCTGTCTTCAAGAAGGCGCTGGACATGTACCTAAAGTCAGTACCTGATCAGCCGGGCTGTGGCTCGTACGTCGGTTTACGTGCAGCCAGTAATAGCAGCCTGGTTCATTAAAGTGGGAAAGACAGAGAAACAAAGTGCACAAACACCGCTTTTCAAGCCTGTAAAGCATCTTAGAACTGGAGTTTACGGTATTCTATTTAAATCACATTTCATTACAAGTTACATCACCAGCAAAGTAGAAATAAGACCTGCCACAAAAGCTGTACCATAAAGGCTTTTACTTCGTTTCTCTCAGAAGACAATCAATAAACCAGAGGATTAATTACGTTGCTCAAGTTTTATATCCATTAACGAAATAAAACACTTTTTGTGACCTGTATCACAGTTACCAAGTGGCAGTGAGACTTCCACCTTCATCTTTCTGCTTTAGAAATGAATGCCGAAGACTTTTTTTTTTTTGTTCATCTTGAATTCTAACACTTTCTCTTGAAGATTTTTTTCTTTTGATAATCGGGAATTCTTGACACTTTCTCTCAAAGCTCTACAACCAACATATTTTTGGCTGAACAGAACTTGCAGCGGTATGATTCTGAAGCCAGAGCTATGCTCTAACTATGCTCTAAAACATCACCTTCTGAACTACTTACACAGTGCTCGTGCAAATGTCGTTTAGAGAATGTTGTTTGTACACAGTTCTGTAAATGCGGATAGCAGTGTAAAAGATTGTTATTTATGAGATAAAAGTAATATTGACTCTTTAACTGTATAGGAATTTCTTTTGTTTATTGTATTTCGTTTGTGTACTTAATTATTCACAGATAACCGGCACCTAGGTGACTGCAACTTATAATGACATGTCGGTCGAATCTGGAAGTTGGACCGAAACGTTTTCATAAGTTTCACTCTCCTGTCCGAGTTATTTGTGTACTGTTCGTTTTTGTTCAATACTTTATTGTATTAACAAAATATTAAGTTTAATAATCAGTTTCACTTTTTTTGACTTGATAAATATCAAAAACCTGTTTACATGAAATTTAAAATTCAAGGGACTGACATCTGTAGGTGATATAACTAAAATAACTGCAGTTAAAATTAGACGGCAGCTGTTTTTAAAGAAATAGTGATGTCTGTCTACGTTTTTTTTTCTTTCTCTCATATGTATACTAAATTTTACTACTGGTTACATAAATCAAAATAGAAATTTGTGCGTACTTTATTACCAGGGAAAAGAAATGTAAAGTCTACGGACTTATTTGATGATCTTATTTCTTAATGCCAGTTTAAGGAATTTATTCGACGACAGAGTTGAATCAAGAGAGAAATTTGCCTTGTTCTCATCACCAAAACTTATGCAAAGGAAGGTATTTATTACGAGTTTGGTTGAGAGCAGAGCTGTACTGCTGGGCCAGTTATCGCGTGTGCTGATAGCCACCTGCGTGCGACAGGTGGACCCAGCCACAACAACTACCAGCTTTACTCAGTGCCAGCAAGCTGTTTGCGGTACTTGGATCCGGCCACTACAAATGCCAGCTGTGCTCAGCACCCATGAACAGCCTCCGGCAGATGGTTCGGGTCACATGTGCCACCAGTGCTTAGAGCCAGCGAGCTGCTTGCGTCAGGTGGATCCTGCCACATCAAGAGCCATCTGCAGAACATCATGAATTAGTGCAGCAGGTATGGCAGCTATCGTTAAGGATATCAAATAGAAATATTTCCCACAGCTCAGATAATGTAGAGGTTAAGAGATGTTATCTTACCTGAGCGTATTTCAAAGCTCATCCTAAAAGATGATACAACTCACAACACTAGAATAACACCCAGGTGTCCATATACGACTGGTGAACAAGACCAGCGAATGGAAGGAGTCTTGCCCATATAACTCGCCCTTCCCAGGTATCATTCCCAAGTCATTTCAGCTGTGAGCCGAATGTTCTCTGACTAACCTACAGTACAGTGGAAGTTGCAAATATTTCATTCGATTCTCCTGACACATCAGTGTCGAGGGAGAGGAGTGGGACGAAAAGGTCCGTTCGAGTGCACACCAACCATGACTCTCCATATACGACTGGTGAACAAGACCAGCGAATGGAAGGAGTCTTGCCCATATAACTCGCCCTTCCCAGGTATCATTCCCAAGTCATTTCAGCTGTGAGCCGAATGTTCTCTGACTAACCTACAGTACAGTGGAAGTTGCAAATATTTCATTCGATTCTCCTGACACATCAGTGTCGAGGGAGAGGAGTGGGACGAAAAGGTCCGTTCGAGTGCACACCAACCATGACTCTCATGCAAACCAGCATTAGAATTCATTCCATTCTCCAGAAACAAGTGAACAGCAGAGGTGAGACACCTGTGGTATATTGATTTGTACCTCTCCTACGATGCCTCTGCAGATATGTGGAGTGTTTTTTTAAGTGTGACTGGTGTCAGGAGATTGTCAAGTGTGGCTCAGGTTAGGAGATTGTCAAGTGTGGCTCAGGTTAGGAGATTGTCAAGTGTGGCTCAGGTTAGGAGATTGTCAAGTTTGGGTCAGGCCAGGAGCTTGTAAAGTGTGTCTGAGATCAGGAGTTTGACAGGTGTGGCTCAGAACAACAGTTTGTCGACAGTGACTGATATATAGAGCTTGTCAAGTGTGGTTGATGTCAAGAACTCGCCAAGTGTTATTGATGTCAGGAACTTTTCTTAGTATCACTACAGCAACGAGACGTTAAATAATTAAAACTTACAAGTTAAAAATCAAAGATAAGTAACTCAATGAATAATTAAAAATAATGAAATTTATTCACATTTACTTAGAGACTAAGAGTTAAATGAAGAAGCTGAGGTACAATTTAATGCTTACGTATTTTATTAAACATTTTATTTCACAATTTATTACAAACCACGAAAAAAGATGAATTTCTCAGTCTTCTTGCATCTGGAACACAAGTCTTTAAACACTCGTAATGAAAAAATAATTGGACACTAAATTTTTCAACAGACATATCCAACAGTTTACTTACAAAAATATATATTTTGCAACAGTTAAATTCCTGATTCAACATACTGAAGACATGAGATGAACTGTTATACAAAATATTTATCAAAAAAATTCCAGTGGTCTCTTTCTCTCTTGAAAATTCACTTTTTTTTCATAATAGTTATTTAGGATACACATATATGTGTCGTGCCTTGTATGCCGAACTTCCCGAAGAGGCTGAATTCAATTAAAATTTTAACTTTTCCCCCAAAAATTTTTTACAATTTTTTTCTTTTCTTTTTGCAGCCCAACCCGGGCAGTCCCGGGGCCTCAGTGGTGAGGGGAGAGACTCTCATCACCTCAGTGGTGAGGGGAGAGACTCTCATCACCTCAGTGGTGAGGGGAGAGACTCTCATCACCTCAGTGGTGAGGGGAGAGACTCTCACCACCTCAGTGGTGAGGGGAGAGACTCTCATCACCTCAGTGGTGAGGGGAGAGACTCTCACCACCTCAGTGGTGAGGGGAGAGACTCTCATCACCTCAGTGGTGAGGGGAGAGACTTCATCCCTCAGTGGTGAGGGGAGAGACTCTCACCACCCTCAGTGGGGGAGGGGAAGACTCTCACCACCTCAGTGGTGAGGGGAGAGACCTTACCTCATGGTGAGGGGAGAGACTCTCACCACCTCAGTGGTGAGGGGGAGAACTCTTACCCTCAGTGGTGAGGGGAGAGCATCTACCTCAGTGGTGAGGGGAGAGACTCCCCACCACCTCAGTGGTGAGGGGAGAGACCCTTACCTCATGGTGAGGGGGAGACTCTCACCACCTCAAATGGTGAGGGGAGAGACTCTTACCTCAGTGGTGAGGGGAGAGACTCTTACCTCAGTGGTGAGGGGAGAGACTCTCACCACCTCAGTGGTGAGGGGAGAGACTCTTACCTCAGTGGTGAGGGGAGAGACTCTTACCTCGTGGTGAGGGGAGAGCCCTCTTACCTCAGTGGTGAGGGGAGAGACTCTCACCACCTCAGGGGTGAGGGGAGAGACTCTCACCACTGAGGCCAAGGGACATTGACAGTTATATAATGTATAGATATATATTTTTGGGCTAAAACTTAGAAATTTTACCAAAGCCACTTAATGCAACGAAGACTCACTGATCACGATAGACATCATGACCACCCTTGACTTGCATAGTATCCATCATAATAATGCTGACCTGTGGGTTAATGCTGTCTGTTTTCTCTCCTTTTTTACATATTCGGACTGCATTGGGTGCAGTCCAGATCTCTGTCTATTGCTCTGTATCTTTTGACTTACGTAGATTTGATCTAGTTCAAACAGTGCCTCTGTACCTTCGTGCAAAATCCCTTGTGATATTTTATCAGGTCACATTGCCCGTGAAGCATCCGGCTGACATAGAAGTTTATTCACAATTTTTACGCTGTTATGAAATGATTTCAGTGCTTGATTTTATGCGTCCTCTAATTCTCAGGTCTTATTCCTTTCCAGACCAACTCCTTTAATCTTTTTTTTTTTTTCAATTTATTTTAGATTTCCGTGTTAATCCTGAGCTTTCCTCCTTCCTTCATCAGTTTTATTACCTTGTCTCTTACTGTCGTCGCTTTCTGATGTTGGTTCACACACATTTAAATTTGTTCCTAAATCATTCCTAATAAATTCTTCTATTCTCATCTTTCCTTACTAATTTCTGGCATTTCTGCTTTGCTTCCTTGCTTTCTTCCGTCATTTGCATTCTACATTTTCTTCCAGGTTCTTGTGCTTCTCGTTTTCTCCCTCTTTGCAATTTTTGGTTAAACCACAAACTCTCTTTGTTCTTGCCATTGCCTCTTATTTTTTCGGGTAAAGAAGTTCTCCTCTGCCTCCTCCACACATTCTAAGTAGGTTTCCATCATGCCAGTCGCTGACTTTCCAGAAATTTTTTTCATCTCTGCATTTTTATATATATATATATTGTGTGGTGTGTGTGGTTGTGTGGTGTGTGTGTGTGTGGTGTGTGTACTCATTTGTGATTGTACGGGTCGATTCACAGCTCCTGGCTCCCCTCTTCTCTGGTTGCTACTAGGACTACTCTCTCTTTCTCCATGAGCTTTGTCGTATTCTTCTTAAAACTATGTATGGAATCCTTGCCTCCACTACGAAAACTTTCCAGATTGTTCCACCTCTAACAACTCTATGGGTGAAGAAATATTCCTAACATCCCTGTTACTCAGCTGAGTTTTCAACTTCCAGCTGGATCCCCTTCTTGCTCTGTCCCATCTCTGAAACATTCTGTCCCTATCCACCCCATCAATTCCTCTCAGTATTTTACATGTCGTTATCATGTCCCCCATATCCCTCCTATCCTCCAGTGTCGTCAGATTGATTTTCCTTAACCTCTCATCGTAGGACACACCCCTTAACTCCGGGACTAGTCCTGTTGCAAACCTTTGCACTTTCTCTAATTTCATGATGTGCTTGATCAGATATTGGTTCCATACTGGTGCTACATACTCCTATATGGGCCTCACATATACGGTGTACAGAGTCTTGAATCATTCCTTAATCAGGTGTCGAAACGCTGTTCTTAGGTTTGCCAGGCGCCCATATGCTGCAGCAGTTATTTAGTTGATATGCGCCTCAGGAAATGTGCTCGGCATTATACTCACCCAAAGATCCTTTTTTCTTGATTGAGATTTGCGGTCTTTGGTCCCCTTGCCTGTACTCAGTCCGATGTCTTCAATCACCTTCTCCAGTCTTCATGATTTTGCATTTGGTGGGGTTAAACACCAGGAGCCAGTTGTTGGACCTGGCTTACAGCTTGTCCAGATCCCTTTTTAGTCCAACCTGATTCTCATCCACTTGAATTCTTCGAATTAGCTTCACATCGTTTGCAAACAGGGGCACCTCTGAATCTATCCCTTCCGGCATGTCATTCACATATACCAGAAACAGCACCGGCCCTAGGACTCACCCTTGTAGAACTCCGCTCATCATAGGCACCCACTCTGACACCTCGTCACTTACCATCACTGGTTTTTTCTCTCCTGTCAGGTATTCTTTGATCCAGAGCAATGCCTTCCTTGTTATTCCTGCTTTTGTACTAATCTCTTGTGCGGAACTGTATCGAAGGCCTTCTTGCAGTCCAAGAAAAGGCAGTCTACCCACCCTTCTCTCTTTCTTGTCTTACTTCTGTCACCTTGTCGTAAAACGCCAGTAGGTTCGTGACAGGATTTCCCTTCCCTGAAGCCGTGCGGGTTATCGTTTATAAGTTCATTCCTTTCTAGGTGCTCCTCCATTCTTCTCCTGATAAACTTCTCCATGACTTTGCATACTGTGCATGTCAGTGATATGCATAGTATGGTCTGTAGTTTAATGCCGCTTGTCTGTGTCCTTTCTTAAAGATTGGGACTAAATTTGCCATCTTCCACACCTCAGGTAGTTGCCCTGTTTTGATAGATGTGCTGAAATTTTTCTTATGGGACAAATAGTGCTCTGCTCCTTCTCTCAGAACCCAGTTTCCATCACTTTATTTTATGTTTTTTCCCCCCATTCTCTTTCCCCGAACCACTGCAGAAAATTCCTCACCCCGTTAACCCCCTTTTTTTGTATTTTTGGCTTCCTCCCTCCTACTGTCTGCTTCACTCTCCACTTTTAACAGTACAATGATTCAGAGCTAAAAACCAGTGATCACAGCTTGGGGGGCCTTTCATATGTTGAGAAGAGGAGAGAGAGAGCGTGGAAAACGAAGTATTTCCTTAAAATTAATTAAAGTAAGCAAACCTCCCTTAAATAACCAAAATTTTAAATTTGGGTGAAGAGACAAAGCAAAAAAATTTAATGCACTGAAAAACAAAAGAAAACAAAGGGTGTGACTTAAAGATCGGTTGCAAGCCAAAACAACAACCTGACAAGCGAGGGGAAAACTAGTTTTTCAACCCTGGATAACTAGCAACCCGTGGGAGAAAAACACACTGCCAAGAAAGCACTAACTTTTAAATCTAAAGGGTAAACAAAACCCTTTACTTTGCTTCGCCGCCAGGATTGGAAAGTGAAAGCACAGCGATAACAAAGAAAAAGGAAAAATATAGGGTTCAGTGAGTCTCTTAATGGGGGAAAATAAACCTCATTTTTTTTACTGTGGGGCCCCATTGACCTGTCCGTGGGGCTT